CCACTCCCGGAGAGGAGTCTCGAAGGTGGTCCAAAACCAGGGTCAATTCTGAGAATGAGAAAGGGTCATTCATGCGGTCTGGGGAGACTGAGCTCAAAGCGAATTAAGAAGCTTCTTCTTGACTGAGAACCCATGGAGGGTATAGCTTATTTATACATCCATTAAGCCAGATTGAAGGATCAAAGCTAGATGCATTGTTGTTATCTCGTTGTGCACATCGAAATCTTTTTAAATTACCCCAAATAACAGAAGGAGGGGAACGGGGCGAAATGGCTTCGCAAAACCGTAGCCAGCCAAATTAATTTTCTCTGATAGAAGCCGTCTGGTTAGAACCACAACTTTCTGGTAATGTAAAAAGGTATCCATAGTCATATACACGTTATACTGGATTTCGGCTTCTTTTCGACTAGCAACGACGGCTGAATACTCATGATCCCACCATGGAGGAGAAGAAATAACGCTACGAAACGGATTTTTAGGGGGATTTAAGCCCTTACTGAAGAATAGACAGACGCTACAAATCTAGAGTAAGCTTCTTGTAAAGATAAATCTCTAATGTTGGACAGAGAGTGCAGTCTCAGCTCAGTCAGCCTTAGAAATATTGAATTTTAACAATGAAGAGTGTTGCCTTGTGGAGTGCAACTGCCAATCACAGAGATGAGGATGGGAAAATGGTCATTTCCGAAAGTGTATGGAAGAGTCCTCCAAGTAGAGCTGGGTGCTAGACCTGGAGAGCACAAAGTAATATCCAAAGCTCATCTTGAATCCCGAGAAGAGTAAGATCTGCGAGTAGGAGAGCCATCTTTCCGAAAACATAAATTGAACTCATCAAAAACATCTACGAGAGGATATGATAGTGCATCCTTTCTATGGGAGCCCCAAACAGTGTGGTTATGTGGCTGTTGAAGTTACCAAAGACCATGACGGGAGAGATGATTGCTTAAAATAGAAGATTGATCTCTGGGATGAGAAAATCATGCGGGTGGGGAATATATATAGCCAAAAAGAAATATTAAAAGCCTTGATTGCAACAACATTAATTTCATCAGTACTCTTGTCGGGGAAAGAAATTCTGTGAAAAATAAGAAAATGTTTGATTAAAATTAGAGTACCTGCTTTTTTACATGCTTTCGGCGTTGGGTTATATTTCGTTATATCAAGATGCTCCATTCTTTTCTTACTTCATTTTTCAAAACACATTCTAATTACAAAACTATTTATTCAGCCTTTGATTCTACTCATAGAGTAGAGCCTAGACTACAGTACCCACCTGCACGGTCCTCCCGAATACGTGAGTAGCTCGGAATCCGGAATCGGGAACCCGGAACCAGCCATGGCTCCAAGAGGATGATAATAACAGAATTGTGTTTATTAATAAGGAATATAAGGTCAGACCTTTTAGGTCTGACACTCCGACAGCTCATTGCAGAATGAGCAGGCCCATTACTAAATTTGTTGAGAAGAGGAGAAAGTTTGTTAAGCACGTGGAACGGTAAAGCAGTATCATCAAAGCGGGACAGAATATTTAGAAGAGTAGAGACTAGTAAGTCAAAAAAATTGTCATTGTTATCGGATGTATTAGTGTTATTTAGCAAAGCAGAACCATTTAGGGAAAAGGGAGGGGGAGTTGCAATTATATCCCTATGGGCTTGTTTATCATAGTCTGAGGTTTGATGGTGGTACTTTGGTTTATTATTTATTGTGACAGCTTTTTTGTGTGAAGTGGTGACTGAGGAGGAGGAGGGTTGTGTAGAGGATAGTCAGACATATGATAGTTGTGTGGATGCAGCTACAACATCAGCAAATGAGCGCCTGACGGCTGGTAAGCGGGCAGAGGCTTTTAAGTAGGACATATTCTCTTGGGACATTACCAATTTTATTGATTTTTGTCGGGAAAATTCAGGGCAATTTTTGTCATTGGATGGATTTAAGGCCGAACAATACAGGCATGTTCGGGTAGAAGCATTACAAGATTCCCCTGAATGGGGTTGTGCGCATTTATAACACCGGGGTTTAGACCGGCATTGAGCTTTGACATGCCCAAACCGACAACATTTCAAGCACTGAATGGTTGGGAGGAGATAGTTTTCCAGAGGAGAGACGAATAAAACAAGTAAACATTCTGGGGCAGGGATTGATCAGAAAAGGTAACTACTACTGATTGGGTGGGAATCCACTCGGTCAAATTATTGTATCTCACCTTCCTGTTCAGGCGTCGAGCTTTGAGAATTTCGCCAGTACCAGAAGGTAAAACTAAACTTTTTACTAACTCGTCCATAGTTAGGTATTTTGGCACGCCTCGAATGACACCCACGCGGATGATTATGTGGGTTGGAATAATTGATTTGTCTCAGCCTGACCAAGGACTGGGTTTTGTACAAAATTGTTTGCTTCATGTGCTGAAGCAAATTCCTTAAGGTGCCTACAGATACGATCGACATTGTCGATCGTCATTGTCGATCCAAAATGTCGATTAGGAGCCTACAGACATAATCGACATTGTCGATCGTTGTCGATCGACAACGAGAATTATAGACGTTTTCGAGTTGTTTGGGAGTGCTTATTGAGAATGTGGCATTAATTTCTAAGTCCAAGATGGTTTTGGAAATGGCATTTATATCTGAATACATGATGGCTGATACGACTTTTCGCATTTCTAAATGCAAAATGGCGGGCACGATTTCCCAAATAATGGCAAGTTGGGTATCGTTTTCGAGGTATTTGGGGGTGCTCATTACGAATATGGCACTTGTTTGTAAATCCAAGATGGCGGACACGATTTTTCAAAAAAATGCATTACGGGTGTCCTTTGCGAGGTATTTGGGGATGTTCAATATGAATATGGCACTCATTTCTAGATCCAAGATGGCGGACACGATTTTTCGAATAATGGCAACTTGGGTATCGTTTTCGAGGTATTTGGGCGAGTTAATTACGAATATGGCACTCATTTGTAAATCCAAGATGGCGGACACGATTTTTCAAAAAAATGCAATATGGGTATCCTTTTCGAGGTATTTGGGGATGCTCAATACGAATATGGCACTCATTGGATCTATATCCAAGATAGCGGACATGATTTTTCGAATAAGGGCAAGTTGGGTATCGTTTTCGAGGTATTTGGGGATGCTTATTACGAATATGGCACTTGTTTGTAAATCCAAAATGGCGGGCACGATTTTTCAAATAATGGCAAGTTGGGTGTCGTTTTCGAAGTATTTGGGGGTGCTCATTACGAATTCACAGTCTATTGCGCCCCAGGGACTTAAGGCTGCCATTTATTATGTTTTTGAAAATAAATTGGCCAAACTTGACAGGTCTCAGTGTCAAACCACTATCTGGAGCAGATTCCAAACGTGAAACCTGAACTATAAACGGTCCTCTATCATTGGAGGAATAAATTTTTCACTGGTTAGATTTTTCATTGGGGTGCGTAAGGATCGTCTGTATAGACGTCGCGGGAGTGCTAAATTCAGTCCCAAATTTGTTAGGGTTGCTGTCACCAGACGCTGCTAAATGGTTTTTGCGTTTACTACCAAACATGTAGAAGTAGGCGTAACATGGTCTGGCGATGGCGGCAGGAGTACCGAATCACCTGGTATATCCGGAGGATCGGTTCCGCCTCCTTCAACCTCCATATCAGACATACTAATTACATAAAAGTTACCTACCACGCAGATCACACACAACACAATAAACGGCACTCACAAATATGGGAGCCCACAGAAATAAACAAATTCGCAGTTCAAACAGTAAGAAAATAGACAGCAAAAACTTTTGAGTTTACCGCCGTTCTTTTCCTAGCGATTGTATTGGAATGACAGCTGTGGCTCTAGACCTTTTGGAGGGAAAAGTGTCGTTTATATTTTGACTTTCAATTATTTTGTGAAATCTATTAAAGTGGAATAGGATAGTGTTATTGTGCCTTAATCGAAGATTAAAACGCGAAATTATACGAATCTCGACCTAGAATACCCGTATCGGCCCGTTTTAAGAAATCCCGAGTCAATCCAAACACGCCGCCTCAAATTGCCTATCCTCTTTGTGGCGGCCATATTTAGAGAAACATAATTAAACTTCATGTTTAGGCTAATGGCTTTGCTAAAGCCTTAATAATTTTTTTTTTAAATGACAGCAGTCAAACGCAACATTGAGATTTCATCTCAACTGAGTACTCCCGTAGTCCAACTTACCAACACCGGTTAATGTCCTATTAGAGCTTAGCGAAAATTTTTTTTTTTTTGTTTCGTTTTTTTTTCTTTCAACTGTGACATTGGCAAAATCATCAGTTCTCATATTGATGGAGCCATAAAAATAAAAAGTGAAGTGAAGATTCGCTCTGGACCTTATGGAGGGAAAAGTGTCGTTTTTATTTTGACTTTCAATTATTTTGTGAAATCTAGTTTAAAGTGGAATAGGATAGTGCTATTGTGCCTTAATCGAAGATTAAAACGCGAAATTATACGAATCTCGAACTAAAATACCCGTATCGGCCCGTTCTAAGGAATCCCGAGTCAATCCAGTGCCGCCTCAAATTGCCTATCCTCTTTGTGGCGGCCATATTTACAGAAACATAATTTAACTTAATGTACCAAAAAAAGAATAATGTACCAAACTTGGCTGTATGGTGTAAAACCTTTGCCTTTTCCTTTATGGAAAGAAGAAAAAAAATTGAGATTTCCGCTGAGAAGTAAAAAATACGATTGTTAAGATTTCAACATCGTAAAATAATAAACATCGAAAACATTATGTACTTTTTTCTTTGGGCAGTAATGTAAAAATGATAACTTTTTTATAAAAAAAAACCGACCTCAAAAGTTCGTGGAATCACATCTATTTATTAAATTTTATTGAAATCGGTTACCGGAAAGTGCGCGAAACCGGATTCGTCCCCTAGTTTGCCACATTTAGAGGTGGAATATGTTCTTCAAATTTAAATGGGACCAATACTGAGGTACCCTCTTTTCAACAAAAAAAGAATCAACCATATCACAAGCCGGAGTTGTCGCTTATGATACACAAAACAATACAGTCGAATTGAGAACCTCCTCCATTTTTTTGGAAGTCAGTTAACATGACCAATTTGAAGAAAATCGATTTCAAGTGTTTCTAGGCAAGACCAGTATCTACAGTTTTTTTCCCCAATTTACTGTTTTTTTTTGCAATATCTTCCGATTTTTTCCAATTTGACCTAGCAACACTGAAGACAAGTCAATAAGTCAAGCAAGAAATTATGTCGCATGCTAGAATTTTAGGAAATTTCTAATTGTTTCCAATGAGTTCGCCAGGAAATTCATCGTCACCTACTTATAAACATTTAAAATATAAACTCAAACAGTCTCCCGTGGAATTCAAAGAATTAATGAGAAAAGTAAGTTTTTGTTGTACTTACATATTTTTTCTTTACACTCGTTTCATAGTTCTATGTTTTTCCATAGCTATTATTATAAGACCTGCTAAAGGTTATAGCGACAATGCATTATTTTATAGATTTGGATTTTGTTTCGTCCAAAAATATAGTTTTTTTCCATTAGCAATCATGCACTTATGTTGGAGATGTGTCACTTGGCGGGAAAGCAATAACTATGTAGTGATAGTTGTTATTTCTGTGGTTTAATTGCCTGGTTTTCGTTGTAAAGTATGTATGAAAGCTAGGGTTGCGACGACGCCAAGTCGTTCGTCGTGAATATACCATCGGCATACACCCAAAATTTCCTTGCATATCATTAAAGTAGATACTGACATAATTTTCCACTATGGGGTAGATAAAGTTGCACTAAAAAGAAAAAAATATATGCCGATTTAAATACCTCAATATTCGATTAAATACCTAAATATTATAAACAAACTATAAATAAAACTTTGGTAACTCATGTGATCTCTTTTTTGCCTACCCTCTCATTAAGACTAATAAAAGTAAAATAAAAATAAAATATTAATGATATTAATGGCCAAACCCTATTGATCCTAAAAATTTTTTATAATTTATCTTCTGATGTTTCAGAACTACAAGGACAAGGTACAAAACTGCCGCAATTTGTTATTAAACAAATTCAGAGGACCTATAGCCGAGACTGACCTAAAAGAGACATTAAATGAAATATACAAGACCATTCCTTTCTCAGATGATACCAATTTTGAGCTAGAATATGAAGTTCTGAAAGAAATTGGAAATGAATTAGTGCAGGAGGAAACAGAATGGTATATACCAATGTTGCTTTTATATTAGGAGACAAGTCTGCTAGTAGAGATGTGTATCATTGTTAAAAGAAAATGTTTAAGAGTTGTATGCATGTTTCTGTAGCTCATATCTTGAATACACATTTTTCCTTGTGAATATAGAAATATTCATTTTCAGTATTTACAATTCTTTTTTATTTACAGGTGGCTGCAAGAATATGAGAAATCACAAATGGAGAACATAGACTGGTCTTCCATGGAGAAGGATGACAACGTAATATGCCCTTTATGCAGAAAAGCAAACCTAAATCTGCACAATACTGGCCTATCTTGCTCAAACTGTAAAGCCAAAATTAACACAACAATATCATTGCTAGAAATAAAAAAGTCCCTTATGTGTACATTAGAGAAACACAATAGCACATGCAACAATGATGTACAATTCACACTGGTTCCTGAATTGAATGAGTCTCATGTTTACCTTGTCTGTGATGCTTGTAGTGACATGCAGTGTATAATTTAATTTATTGTACTGTGGACAAACTCCATTTGTATATTTTGGTCAATTACTTACCAGAAGGTACAATAAAAGCAATGTGTCCGACACATTCACAGCCAAATGAGCCTTGAAGTTTTGTGCCAGTGTGTGAACCCACTATGAACACATGTCGCAGGATGTAATATTTATTGAACGGTTGTGTGGACTTGTGATTTAAGAGTCAAGTTACCCAAGTAATTAAAAATGTGTGATCAAATTTTAATTACCAATTTTTACTTAAATCCAGATGTATAGCAGTGAGATGTGTCTGCAATATCGCTGATCCGACTCACTGTATCGCAAATTTAAGATAAATATAGTGTACATGCCTGTCCCCAATTACGTCAATTTTTAATGTGATTTCCCGAACTCCGAACAGGTCCAGGACCTAAAAAAATATTGTCATAAGGCATTCTCGATTTTCTGATGTTCCTTGAAGTTTAGGTAATAAAACTCTACCCATTCCAATCCCTGGTAATGTTTCAAGAGCATTGCCAACTTTGTTTTAAAAACAATTACAGTATATTTGGTTACTTTTTAACCGACTTCAGAAAAAGGAGGGAGGTTCTGAATTCATCTGTATGTTTTTTTTATGTATGTTACGCGATAACTCCGCCATTTGTGAACCGATATTGATGATTCAGAAGTGATACCATTTAAATTTGAAGATAATATTCCACCTCTAATGCTGGCAAACTAGGGAATGAATGACTTTTGAGGTCGGTTTTTTAAACCGGAGACTAGGTTATATAGTTATAGTTATCTGGGTACATTTATTATTACTAAACTGTGAATGCATTTGAAAGTATATTAAAGTACAAGATTGATGTGGAATATTGCTGCTTAAGAGTAAGTATATGTCCAAGACAAGTGTTCTTTATTCTGTCCATAGTCTACTTGGTTATAAAACTTAGTTGTTCATGTGTATATTATTAATTGCTTGTATAAAAAAGTTAAGCCAAGCAAGGTGATTGTTATAACAGTATGATTTTTAAATATATTTAATTTCATAATACTAAAATTGTCAACTTTAATCATTTGTTAGTATGTGATTTTTTTGAGTTCTTAGGTTTTCGCGATTGTTACACATAGGAAATGAAACTATTTTTCCGGATTTAAATCGCGTATATTTGTTTTTTCAAACAAACCGCCCGAAACGTCGGTTTGTTTAAAAAAACAAATATACGCGATTTAAATCCGGAAAAATAGTTTCATTTCCTATGTGATTTTTGTTAATCGTATAACGCTCAGTTAATTATTGTGAATTAATTACCTAAATAGTTTTGAATAAAATCTTGATTTGTTGATTATTTGGTTTTTTTTTCGTGATTCATTTCAGGCATTTTGTTTTTGTTTGAGTGAAAAGCTTCAAAAGTGTCGTAAGGTGCGAAAATAATGTGTAAATAAACATTATTTCATCATTATATTTATTGTTTTTAAAGCATGGTTACTTATTTAATAACGGCACTGCTGTGAATCATGTACTGTTCCAGAATCTGTACTGACCATAACCAAGGCTTTTCATATAAATTAACTCAAATCATTGCACTTATGGGTGAATTTCAACCCGTAAAACCCTTTTTTCTTTTGGTTTTAAGGTCTCAAACGTACAAATAAGTTCAAGCAATGTCAAGATTATAAAATCACAGAAATATTTAAGTTAAATACAACAAAAAACGATATTTTAGGTCACACTAATGAGATTGCAGTAACACGAATAATTTTCTCAAACAAAAATGAGAAAGACGTCATAGTAATGAGAAATTATTATTACAACACACATTTTATCGTTCACAACAAAACGTTTAACATGTAACAAATATTTTAACATAACTTCTTGTATCAAAATCCTTCTCATCCGTGTAAGACCATATATCTATCTGTATGTGATTAATAAATAAATCTAAAAAAGTATTTTGTTAATGTTATATAAACTTTATTGCACATCAATATATCATCATCACCACCATCAACATCATCATCATGATCTCCATTATCATCAACATTATAACCATTCACATCATCGTCATCATCACTACAATCATCATCACCACCATCATCATCGTCACAACCCTTAACACCACCACTATCACCATCTAATTGTTATATTTCAAGTAAATGTTCGGCTTAAAGTAACTATTTGACTTAAAAGCAGACAAGAATGAGAGCGACAATAATGATATTTGAATACATTTTTAATTATGACAGTTATGAAAGTGCATGGATTTTAACGTTCCTATTGTGTAATTGATGTACAATAAAGTTTATAAAACTATTACTTAATACTTATTTAGATAGATTGCTTTACATGATTTTTTTTGAAATTGGTATTTAAGTCGATTTTTTGCTAAAACGGAGATGCACAGGTTAATTCACTGTGTACACTCCAATCCGAAAGGAGCCTTTTCTCACGTGTGCGAAGGGTGAAGGTGATGTGGAATGAACTTTTGTTATTTGGAGGCTTTTAGTTGAATTGACACTAATGATAACAAAAATTGAAACACATTTTGTATTCCCAAGAAAACATGTTTGTTTATAATAAATTGGAAAGTTACGGTATGTATGTATGTATGTATTAGACGTGTAGATAAGTTATTAGAGTTTATCCTCGACGGGAAATATTGCGATTTCCTCTAATGTTAAATTTTTTTTCTTTTCTTAAAATTAGGGCGACGTGGAACCGGCTCCCATGAATGAGAAATTGCCCACTTTATTAATTTTTATTTATTAATGTGACGTAGTAAAGTAGTCTTTTTATTTGTAACACAGACTAAGTAAGCATGCAATCATATTAAATAAATAATGCTTAGCATTCATGTAAAAACATAAAAGTTATTGAAAGAGACACATTTTTGGAGGTTATCTGAAAACGACCCTTATACAGGTGTAAAATTTGAGACGGGGCAGCAAGGCCGGCTACCTTAATCGTTGTAGTTACAGGAAAACGGTTCTAGAACTACCCATGAATTTTGAAGATATATTGATTGGCATTCACAGATTTTGAAAAAATGGTACAGTCAGCAAGATAAAAGGTAATTTATACAAAACTTTTTTTTATGCCATTCGATCCGGTCTCTGGTAAGGATCAATAGTCTCTCTCTATGGGACCAACTGAGGTAAGAGTACTCGAAATGTCAGAAATCGCAAAAAACTTATTACCATACATTTTGTATGGACATATCTAGTCATCAGTTATTCTAGGTAGTTAAGGAAGGGTCTGGCTCGGGCTATGGCGCATGATCGGGTTCCGATTACGGGGTGTGCTTATGCTCTTAGTTGGCACAGCGGTTAGTACTATGGGCGCTTGATGAGGAGGTTCCGGGTTCGATTCCCGATTTAGGCCAATTTAGGAAACGAACATTTCTAAGTTGGTTCTGGTCTGATCACTCGTATTCCCCAGAATACGAGTGCTCCCAGAACCAACACCCATATTATACCAATACCCATATTGCCCTCAGAGTCATCGTTATTCTGGTATTCATAGTACAGGAAATTTTCTAATTTGAGATAAGAAATTTGTGTGTGGTTCTTTCCCCTAAATACTTCTCTTTGCGATCTAACAGAGAGACGGTCTCTCATTTCCACTACATCGCCATCGGAAAGTATGCTTTACATTTTTAATAATTTTGCGATCTTGTATTCGTACTTGGTACTTGGTGTAACGGGCTGGTGTCCGCAACTCGACGTCAAGGCGCCTATTATTTTTTTTCTTGTATTCGTAATAGAGCCTCCATATATTACATACGAACCTACGATGGCGTGCAGGCGCGTCGGGCTTTGCGCTTCGTCAGACCTCGGCCTACGGCCTCGGTATCTATGACTTTGTTTTGAAAAAATATCATAGTTCGTTAATGGCGGCCATATTGAAAAATGGCAAAAAGTAAATTTTGTCCGCAAACTATTATTAAACACCCATGGAGACCCCCACATGCCAATTTTCAGTCAAATTAGAGCAAATTTTTGTCAACCGCCAATAGGTTTGTATGCCAGCCATAATGAAAAATTGCTAAAAGTAAATTTTGACCGCAAATTATTATTAAACCCCCATACAGACCTCGACTTGCCGATCGAACTAGAGCAAATTTTTATCTGCCGCCAAAAAAGTTTGTATGGCAGCCATATTGAAAAATGGTAAAAAATTAATTTTGATCACAATTTTTTGTCAGACAGACCACATAAATACTAGTAAGTCAGACACTTGTCTAACTAGAGACCCCCGCATGCCAATTTTCAAAGGGATCAGAGCAATTTTCTTTTCTATCGACAACGTACGCTTGTATGACAGCCATATTTGAAAATGGTGAAAAACCAGTTTCGAGCACAAATTATTATCTAGAGACCTCCACATGCCAATCTTGCACATGCCACAAGTCTCTTTCCGCAGCTATTTTTAACGAAAAGAACACTTATATAGCAACCATATTTAAAAATTGCGAAAAAAAACTTTTCACTCCAAATTATGATTAAGGACTCCTAAAGACCCCAGCATGCCAATTTTCAGCCGGATCGAAGCAAGTTTTTCTTCGGCCGCCATTCTGAATTCGCCATCTTGAATTTTTTTAACACAAGCAGTTGACCACTGTTACCCTCTATGACATTCCTTCGAGCACCTCCTACCTAACTCTAATAGTTTCCATTGGAGACCTTTTTAAATTTGTATGGCGGCCATCTTGTTTATTCGAATTTCGAACATTTTTTACTTCCGGCTGAAAATGCCTAGGGCGCACCACATAAAAGTGCACAAACATTCCCTCCATATATTATAGTTTTTGCAGGCCGTTAATCACTCTTTTATATTTTCCACATTCAGGTCATCTCATATTTGATTCTTTGCTTTGAAACCCATCCGCGTACAACGGTATAAATATCTTTTTTCCACCATATCGGGAAGTATGCGTTCTATTTCTATCAGCTTGTTGTAGCTTTATATTATAAAAAATAATAATAGTATTAAGTGTCCACTACACCAGTGTAGATCTTGAGGAGTGTCAAAGAGATGCTCGCGTCACATGCGCTAAAAAGATAATTTGGGGTCAAAATTATATTTGAAAACAAATCCACTCCTCCCGTGTAGAGGCTACCTACGACGTGACATTGGCGGAATTGTGAAAGACACAAAACAAGCCACTAATAAATAAAGAAGAAGAAGAAGATAATTTGGTGCATTCTTGTCTTACATGGAGCGAGAGCGCGCACCAGACGGATTGCATTTAATCAGTTCTGAGAATTCCAGGGATTTGTAGAAGGGAATGTCTACATTATTCTTTAGTTTAGCTAAATTAACTCCTTCAATTCCTATCACTGCTCACGAGTTAGTTATGACTTTAATGGGTATATTTTAGGTAAATTTTTTTCTCACAATTAGATCCAAAAATAATGAAAAACTCATTTACAAAATAAAAAATGACCTTTTATTTCAATTCATGAAGCATGGTAACAAGGTATATGTAAATTATTACTTTTGTCATACAGTTGGGGTTAGAACATTTTCATTATACATGATTATTTTCTACCAAAGATTAGACTAAATGGTAACTTGTATAAAATGTACATTATTAATAATAGTATAAAAAGTGCCATTATTTTATTGACTGTAATACATGGGCATCTTTTGCAGTTTTCATCCTTAGTACAAAATGGTCAACTACGTGAATTATTCTAGGCCTGAAAATAAAAATGTTCAGTCAATTTTATCTTCAGGGAAAACTAAAATAACAAAAGAATAATGTAACTATTGTATTCAATGTAAAAAGCTAAATAATTATGTAATACAGTTATAATGACGGACTGTCCGGAACGGCCACCCAAGGACGCTATACATAGAAATCAAAATTTAACTAGTGTTAAATAAAATAGCCCATAAATAAAAAAAAATTGTTAAATGCCATACAAATTAAATATGTCAAGTGTTCCATACCACATGACCCCTTAAACATTTAAAACATTGGATTTGTACTTATTATTTATAATTTCAGTGGACATAATTTAATATTGTTACATGAAAAATTTTGAACTTATTTCTAATTTCGGCTAGAGTTTGTTTATATGTATTTGCATTAATATGTATATATGTACAACGTGGTGCTCATAGCACTGGGAATTACCTAATTTGATACCAGACAGGTGGTATTGTCTGGCACATTATTATTATGGTATGGAGCACTTATTTACAGCATACACAGCAACTCATTCAGTTGAAATTTTACTAATAATGATAAGATCGCATACTTAATCGATTTTCATATAAACATTATTATTAAATTATTAACTACATACTACACAAATAAATTCTACAGTACTCACTATATGGGTAAACCTTGAACATCCATGAGGTCTTCTTGTTGAGCGTGTACATGCGCATGGGCGTGTGTGTGGGCGGTGGAGCCGGGCGCGGCGAAGGGTGCGTGGTGGTGAGGGCGCGGGCGCCGCGGGGAGCGCGCCGTGATTACTCGGGGCTTGTGGATCTCGTCCATTACTGATGGCGCCACGTACGTGAAACCCTAAATCGCATATTTACACATCAGACACAACTGTCTATTATCATATTTATGTATTTTGTTATTGAACTAAAATTTTTAACCCCACCTGGAACATCATGTTGGCACTTGCACTAAGAGTTGACTCATCAGGTGAATCAATTGGTGTTTGGAGTGTAAACCTCGTATCAAATTGCGAGACGTCGTCTTCACTTGACTGAAAACATTTTGATGATTAAACTCTTTATATGATTATTTCAGTTAATTTAAAAAATTTTAAAATTTTAAGTCACAGTGAGAGTTAACCATACCAATTTAGGTTTGATTGGGGGCTCCAGTCTCCTCGCAAAAACGTCATCCCAGTGCACGTGTTTGAAAAACGCGTGACCACGAACTGCAGCAGCCCCCGCGGCGCCGAGGCGCTGCGTCTCCGAACGTTTCATAAGGCGTCTTATCAAATCACGGGCATCTTGTGTCAGGTAGGCAGGTAACATTAATTTTCCCTTCAATATTTTTTCTATAGTCTTCGTACGATTGTCTCCTGTAAAAGGTGGCTAAAAAAACCAAATCTCATAACATTTACTTTTTCTTTGGCATTATTTGTAGTTAATACCTGATTGTTGCATGAACGTGATGGAACTGAAAGCCATGAACTAGGTGTATTATTATAGGATCCATAAAATATTTCAAGAAACAAAATAAACATTACCTGTCCAATCAGCATGTCATACATCAAGGCACCCAGACTCCACCAATCTACTGCTTTTCCGTGGCCACTTCGTGTAAGGATTTCAGGGGCCCTGAAAAAGAGACATTTATACATTATATTAAGTAGATGTAACATCAACATTAATTTTACAAGAATATTGCTTTAGAATAAAATGCAAACAAAATTACAGAATAGTCATTAGAAATAGAACATACATATACTCTATAGTACCGCAGAATGTGTGAGTAACAATACCCTCTTGTATGTGTTCTTTGCACAATCCAAAGTCTGTGAGTTTTACGTGACCCTGTGCATCCAGGAGAACATTTTCTGGCTTAAGGTCGCGGTAAATTATACCCAGACTGTGCAAATGCTCCAATGCTAAGATGATTTCTGATAAGTAAAAGCTGCAAGAAAAAAAAACATCAAAACTAGAGTTTAGTTGAAAAAAGACTGAAGTGTCAATGTGTAGGTACAATATTGGATGATCATCTTCAGCACTTGATTTATTACGCAATTTTGTTCAAGTAAAACTGAACCCCTATTATTAAAAATTCACTTAGCTTTTCTTACAAATAGCCGAAAATAAAATGTGATGGATTTGCTTTATTATTAAGAAATTAGGAATATAGAATACAAATTATTAAAAATATAGAATACAAATTTTGTACTAACCAAGCTGTGTCTTCAAGGAATATTCCTTCTCTCTCCAGGTGCATAAATAGTTCACCACCACTTAAATATTCTAATATTAAGTATAATTTACCACCAGTTTGAAAAGCATATACTAATTCTACTATGAATGGGTGCTGAAAATAAATAAACATGGTTTAATCATTGTTAAAAGCATAATTTACTTTTATTGCTCAAAATTATAGTAAGTTACAGGTATTATAAGCTGGCTACATTTTTTAAATTAAAAAGTGCTAGAAGTCAAACACTGATAACTATTATCTTATTATTTTTTGACCACAGAGAAGTAATCAACTTGTTATTGTATTTCCATTTACTTATAATGCAATAACAGTCATACATAATATGTATATTATTATATATTACTAACAGTTGAAGTTCACATATTACTTATAGGTATTATAACCAGAAGGTGTGGTGGAAGTGTTCAAGGGTTTGATTAAGGTTTAGGTTTAATTTTATTTACAATTTACCTTAACAGCTTCTAGAATATTTCTTTCTGCTTTCGTGTGTGCTGTGTCCTTTTGATTGCGTACAATAGAAGCTTTTTTCAATACTTTCATAGCAAAATGGGCGCCAGCATCTGGACCTGTTATCTTGCGTACTTGGAACACCTTTCCATATCCACCCTTCCCCAAAACTTTGCGTAATTCAAAATCTTGAGGACCGAGCCGCTTGCATTGTCCTGGATTTACATTTTCTTCATTTAGTGGGATTGTTTCAGATCCTTCAGTTCTAAAAAACAAGAGAGCATGAGATTAAGTAAAGCCTTAAAAGCAGATTTCATTTTAAACAAGTAATATTAGTATTGAAAAACATAATTTGGGGTTCAGAGTTGTTTGCTTTCATGTGTTATGTAGGCGGGGCAAAACCTGCAACAAATCTTTGTTGTCTTAGGTCATAACTGGTAAACACTTTAAGAATAAGCTGTCTGCCAAGCGTTTCGATACATTATACTGAAGAATGGGTGAAGACAGTTGTCACCTATGACCACAATCTTGACCTCTTACTTGTGTCTCACCATCCTGTATCTGGGTCTGGAGGCAGTTGGCATCCAAACTACATACAGCCCTGGTTGATGGCAGTAAGTTGGGAAAATTATTGTAAGTTAGTGTAAGGCTGCTCCCCGTGTCGCGAAAAATGCCTGAATGTACCACTTTGCTGATGGGCAACTCGAAAGTTCAATGACCATTCTTGGAGGAGCAGTTTCGCTTCACACTTGTGACTTGACATTTGCAACTGGATCTCTGCTAAACAGAATCCCTTCCAATTAACTACAATTTTAGGAGGTATCACATATCCACAGCAGTTCCTGATCTTGAAGAGTTCATTGTCAAAATTTAAGCAAAAAACTTTATAGCCTTTCCAATTTCATGGTGTGCTTTACACTGGTATTCTGCAAAGGCAAGTTCGATAATGTATGTAATACTACTTCTCTTTTGACATCCTTAAACTCCATAGAGAAATGTCCCAAGAAGGTCATTGGTAATGCTGTTTTGGCAGATACTAAACTACAGGGCTTTGAGTACTGGCACTTAAATTTCTGTTTATCAGTATTTTATCATTTTGAAAAGAGCATGGACGGCATTACATAACCAATTCCATCTTTCCCTTTCCATCTTCAGGCGACCTTATGTGGGTGTTTGTGGGTTCTTATGTTAAGACTGCCTACATGTATGAAGTAGTTTGCTTCTTCCTTTTTAATGTGGATAACGAAGGAGTCCAATTCTCTGCCCACAGAGTAGTTGAATTATTATTATAATTTGCATAATTTTTTTTATAACCTTAAGCATTTTCAAAAACTATAATTAACTTACTCAATGTTCACATGAAGTTCAGGGTCATAATCAACCTGAAAGATAACAAAAACATTACAAATAATATGCATATAACTAAAAATACCTATTACTGATAATAAACAATGCAATTGCAAAACAGCATTTACCATTAAAAAAATCATGATTAGTGTGTGGTATACAAATTTATGTTAATTAGTTAAGTATAACGCTGTAGCTCAGGTTATTCGCATATGTATAATTCAGTATTTTAAAGTAAATTCACGTAAACTAGTATTTAAACAGTAGCGTGCAAGGTAAATGCATGAAAATATTCAATCGTGATTACGACGTAAATGTTTATCCTTGATCATTCAATCAATCTAGAACATGACTTATAGGTTATATGGTGAATTTAGTATAATGTGCTGCTTTCCCATCACATAAATACCTCATCAACTTCAATAATATCGTCTTCATCTGAATCTCCAACGGTCACGGTATCGACATCTAAATCCAAATCAAAAACACCAGCCATATACGATGACATTATATGTGATATCACATCAGCAAGACGTGCACTTTATTCACAAGTAACATAAGTTCTAGAAAACTAAACGATGAAAGGAACAAGTTTATTAATATTTCGTAACAAAAATAACTTCTTCAATTGCCGTTTGTCATGAAGAAACTTAGTTTTGTCTCAGTGACTAAAATGAAAATTCACTATGTGAGTTAAAGAGATGAGAGCAAGCAAACGTGAAGCAAATTAGCAAGCAAACGACAATCGCGCTCGCTACACGAACAACACGAAAATGAGATAGAGATATTTCTCACAGACGGAGTTAAAGATACAAAAGAAAACCGATGGAGACTTTATGCTCGGATACACTGATACACATTGTTATATACGCGGTCAACATTACAGCTCATTTGAACATTATTTTGATAATACATGAAACTGCTGGACTTGCGCAGTTTGGGTTATGTTTTTCAGAAAAAGAAATATTTTACCTGTATTTATCTTAGAGGGCAGATAGTCTGTGCCTTCCGACTTCCATCGATCTTTTGTTGTTGTCCAATAACGCTTCTATATATATACTTATTAAAATAATATAAAAATTTTACTGCTGTGCTAATAATAATAATATTTATTCTTTATTTATACCATGTTTATTAACATCTCATAATTCCTCGCCTGATTCCTTTTTCACTTTTTCTCCAATTTTCAAATCCCGTTTCCAAATTACATTTGCATGTCGATATTGACTTATCAATGATTATGGTACAACACTAAAGAAGTCCGCTCTTTGTGGTGGACATTTTTGGTTTAGGTAGGGACGTTCATTCCGTAGATAGGGCAGCTGCTTTCCATTATTTTTTTCCATCATCTAAGGGTCGTATTCCAGAACTGTACTCAATGCTCAAGTCAAGACTTGAGTATGATTTCAAGCTGAGTTTTTATTCCAGAACATTACTCAAGCGTAGAATCTGTAATCGGAGTTCACCTGAGTAATGTCAGAGGAAGTGACAGCTTGCGTCTTAATTTTAGAACAATGCTCGAGATTCGTTTCAGTTTTACTGTTTCCTAAACGGTACTCAACTGTAAAATCTTATCTTGAGTGTTGTCAAAATCTGTATTTACTTGAGTGAGGTCTTGGTCCACTTGAGTAGGTACATAATAATCGGCGAAAAATTTACAAGATTACGATGAAACCATTTGAGAATTTTGATCTTTATCAAAATATATCAATGATGAATATCATACTCAATTGCTTCAGACGTTGAAAGACCTACAAGATCCGTACGACATGGAAGATTTGGTAAAACAATTAATTTAACCTATCATAGCAGATGAGTTACTTTGAATGTAAGTTTTATACTTAGGAAATGATAATCTTAACATATACTCCGGAATCATATTGTAATAAAATCACATACCTACAGTTCCCCATAAAAGAATTGTTAACTTTAATGGTCCAGTACATACAAACGTAAGCAAACCAGAATCTGTATTTCAGGTGTGATTCAGACAACCGTGGTTAACCAACCACGGTTGTCTGAATTCACTCATCTGCTATGATAGATTAAATTAATTTTTTTACCAAATCTTCCATGTCGTACGGATCTTGTAGGTCTTTCAATATCTGAAGCAATTGAGTATGACATTCATCATTGATATATTTTGATAAAGATCCACTTGAGACAAAATTTTACAGTTGAGTACCGTTTAGGAAACAGTAAAACTGAAACAAATCTCAAGCATTGTTCTAAAATTAAGACGCAAGCTGTCACTTCCTATGACATTACTCAGGTGAACTCCGATTACAGATTCTACGCTTGAGTAATGTTCTGGAATAAAAACTCAGCTTGAAATCAGACTCAAGTCCTGACTTGAGCATTGAGTAGAGTTCTGGAATACGACCCTTAGATGATGGAAAAAAATAATGGAAAGCAGCTGCCCTATCTACGGAATGAACGTCCCTACCTAAACCAAAAATGTCCACCACAAATGGCGGACTTCTTTAGTGTTGTACCATAATCATTGATAAGTCAATATCGACATGCAAATGTATGGCCTGAATGTTGAAACTGCTTTTTTTGTTATGTTTGTAATTTATATAGTTTACTGTAATCAATATATGATTAAAATGTTTAATGAAAGTAGATCAATATTCATTGACACATGGGAATATCCGAGATGATATATATCAGATTTTGAATTTATTATTTTGCATTTATAAATGCTCACATATTACGAAAAATAATATAAATCAGGAGATCTCTATGCATTTTCAATTTCAAGACTGATATTCAATTTTTAAAAGGTTTCCAAATAGTTTAAGCTCTTATGTATTTATGTATTAGTAGATAATTAATATCCGTGATTTTAATTTAGGTGAATGTCATACTTCCATTTAATTTTTGAATTATATCAAATTACTTATATAATTGCAATGACATTATCGAAAATCATAAAATCAGATATAATATTAATAATAGGTAAGTTTATTTGCCTAAAACATGGTATAACAGAACATGTAGCAAGAGATAGTGTCAGTATAAATATGTTATATTACATAATTATATATTAAACTAACACAACAATAAAAATATCACAATAAATTGTTACAAGTTACAAATTAAATTTGCCAAGAATTATTAAAATCAAAATAAAATTTTACATCTATTATTATTTAATCACTTACATAACTTCGTTATAAGCAAACATGAGTCTAATAACTTAATTTTGAGTGGTATTTTATTATACATATTAACACACATTTTTAAATTACTTTGTCTGTAATTTTTAAGTTACGATTGAATGTGACGATATTTTACCATCATGATATTCAATAATTTTTTTGTGTGATTGATTGTGACAAATTATCTTTGTGAAATTACTGCACTAGTTTCTTAAAGATCGAACAATCATAAAAAATTGCTACGATTTGATTGGATTCGAACCAACGTCTTCCAGTCAACTGTGAGAGACACTATGCCAACTAAGCCACGGAACGAACCAGCGGGCCTTACGAATTTTTCTCAAGTGCTTGTTGCAGATCTTTGTTTTTAGTTTTTAATTTTTTTTTGCCGTAGCGGCATCTGTCAGAAATCTATTTCTTCACTCATAAAAGTGAGGAAAATTCGTAAGGTCCGCGTGTTCGTTCCGTGCCTTAGTTCGCATAGCTTCTGGCACAGGTTGCTGCAAGACATTGGTTCGAATCCAGCCGGATCGTAGCAATTTTTTCTAAGTGTTCGATATTTGTGTTAATAATAACTTTTGCTGTGTATAGCAGTCATAGGAACATTGTCAAGTACAAGTCTATTCGGGTTTCTGTTGGCTCTAGTATACACTTTACTGGTTTTTCTAAACAAAATCAATTAATCAAAATTGTGAAAAACAAGTATCTCAAATAGGACATGCAAATCGGTTACTTGGTTAACCTAAAAAACCAACTAACTGTCCACTTTCGAACACGGTTTTCAGATAAGCAAAAACCTCATAGTGAATTGATTTAATAACAGAATATCGATAATATGTTTGCTTACAAGAACACCACTATCTAAAAATCATTGTTATCAATAATTTTCAAAATATACTAACAAACAGGCAATCTAAAATAACCAAAGCAAAATTCGGGAAGACTTATGAATAAAATACATAAATGAGTCTAATTACATGAGATATTTGGACTATTGTATGATTTATAGATAAAAAAAATAACACGTAATGTAACATTCGGTTGATTTCCGCCTTTTCTACTGCCGCACCCCTTAATGTCGCAGCGCCACATTTTAATCAATACTTAATTGTTCTCACTGTCAATATTTTTGTCCAAATTTATTTACAATTCATGCAAATAATTATCTAAAACATTTGGCAAAACATTGGTTTTGACATTTGATGTACTTCCCTTTGACAATCGGCTACGGATGTCAAAAGGTACTCCAAAAATGGTAAAATGAGGACCGTTGGCATTTTTTTTTCTTAATGAATGGTTTGTGAGACTACATAGCCTCAATTCTGCCAGCGTCCTTTTCTAGCTTCATAAACGTTATGGACGGTGTGTTAGAATTTTGTTCGGTGACTCAGAGGGAGAATCGAAGAGACTTTTGCACAAATTGAATTCTAGAACAAAGGAAACGGCACAAATTAGACAACACAAGTCGTTAGAAACATGTATATATGTTAAATATAGTGTTAGTGCATGAATAATATTTACAGTTTAATATGATTTACATGTATGAATTTAAAAAGAATATGATACATTTTTGGGTGAGAAGATAGGGCCCAAAGGCATTTAAAGGTAGTAGGACGAGGGATAGAGGGAGGGAGGATGTCATATAGGGAACACCGTAATTTAGGGCAGGGAAGAAATATATGGTCCACTTTGGTCAACTATGGTCCTTTGTCTAGACCGCATTCACACAATGAGTCCGTTGGCATTTAAGATGACGTTACGTATTTTCGATCCCGTGTTTGACATAAATCAATGTAGTGCCATCTCTTTCGGCTTACGACGGCATCGGCATGCTTGAAGATTTATTTAGTGTGAATTATACATTAAAATTGTATAGTGAGAGTAAGAGCAAGTTACAGTAAAACGAGATTTAAAATGATTGGACAACAGCGAAAAGACAGAGCTTATGGTAAAAAACAATTTTTATAATGGCTCTATCGTTTACGTTCAAGTATCTTCAATTCTTCAACTTTTGACATGTATCAATTAATTAATTTTTTTTCTTCTTTCCATAAAGGAAAAGGCAAAGGGTTTACACCATACAGCCAAGTCTTGGTACATTATTTTTGAGCCCATGTCTTCGTTTAATTGTTTCTGTAAATATGGCCGCCACAAAGAGGATAGGCAATTTGAGGCGGCGTGTTTGGATTGACTCGGGATTCCTTAGAACGGGCCGATACGTTTATTTTAGTTCGAGATTCGTATAATTTCGCGTTTTAATCTTCGATTAAGGCACAATAGCACTATCCTATTCCACTTTAAACTAGATTTCACAAAATAATTGAAAGTCAAAACAAAAACGACACTTTTCCCT